CCCCACCTTCAGCCTGTGAGGACGCACGACAGTGGGCTTTACCGGAAGGGCACAAGCAGACAGGAGTGGCTTCCAGCAAGGCACCGGCCGCACACTGGCTGGGTACTCATCTGCTGCACCCAGAGCGTGGGCAGGCCGTGGCAATGCTGCACAGTCACCTGTGTGCCGAGAGTGCAGGAGGCATGGAGAGTGTGTGCTGACACTGCCAAGAGACCAGACTTCCAGGACTCACAGGCATAGCCAGGGACTTGTGCTGGGGTGTGGGGAGGCGAGAGAGCTGGGCTGGCCAGGTGGGGTGGGTCTTGCTGCTGCCAGCCCAGTCCCTCCACCGGCGCCAGGTGGGAGCTGAGTGCTCAGTGGACTCCCAGGCCAGTTCGCTCACAGCCGTGTTCCCATCTGGAATGGAGGCGCTGTCTTGCAATCACAGTGGTTCTTCTATCCTCTGACAAAAGGAGGGGGCTCAGTGCAGCACCTGGCACACGGGGCAGGGGCAGAACAGCTGTCTAGCTCTCTTCTTATGGACTAGCACCCGCCCACTCTGGTGCCTGCATCCCAGCTGGATGCACGGCCACTGCCTGACTGCAGTCACCAGGATTCTAGAGTAAACCAGGAGCTGACGCTTCCCAAGCTGCCGCCTTCCCTCCTGGGGGTCTCCTGCAACAACATGAGAGATGCCACAAATCCATCCTTGCACACCTGCTCACCACGCAGACATTCATCAGCTCCACGTGCATTTCTCGCCTGTGCCTCCTCAAATCAGCCTCCCGCCTCCTTGCTCATGGGAGCAGTGACTGTCAGACCCTGGGATCCACGCTAACTGTCCTGGTTTCTTTAGATCAGTACGGCTCACTTTGTCACCAGTGTTCCCCAGCAAGGCTGACAGCGGTCCCAGGGTCATCTCGTGCTCTGAGACAGTGCCGTCAGGCACCAGAGAGTCAGCTCAGAGCACAGTGGCTTCGCCACAGGAAGCAGGTGGCTGCTTGTGCCATGGAAAAGCCACCACCCAATGAGGCACCAGATGTCCAAGGTGGGGAAGGAAGAGGCCACTCCAGTGAAGAGCTATGCACGCTGCACCTCTGTATCCTCCAAAGCCCAACACGGAGCTGTGTGGAGAGTCTCTGGATTAATGCGTGTTGAAAGAAAGAACCGGTCACCCTCAACACATGCACACCATCAATCCGAGCCAAAGCGGACAGAAATGGGCCTGGGTTTGCTCATGTCATCTCTCCAGACTCTCAGCCCTGCACACAGCAGTCTGTCGGCCACACCCTGACCCACCACCTGGCTCCCTCCTCCCAAGGCCCCAGGATTTCCTGTGTCCTGGGTGTGAGGCAGAACAGCCCGGGGCTGCGGGTGTGGCAGTCCACACACAGGGCACCTGTGCACCCCCAGAATGTGAGGCTCCTTGATCATCATTTTTAATCAAAAGTTCACTGCGAGAATGAGGTTAAAGCTCGTGAATATAAAGATGTATTCAGAAGACAGCGCGACTGGCTCTCCCTTAATAGGTTACTAACCGAAATATCATTGAACCGTTAATCAGAGACACCTTGAAATTATGGACTCGTTTACCAAAGGTGAGAAAGCTCCACAATCCCTCAACTAGTAAAGACTAGCGACGGTAAGCCACGAGCAAGGGTACATCCAGCTCACTCTGACATCCAAGCAGTAACATTGCGCTTGAGAACGGTGACAACAGTGTGGGCCAGTATTTACTGAGCACACACTGCGGCCTTCCTCCAGCCTCAGCTTTAAGACTTACATTCCATCCAGACAAAGTACAGATCCTTCCACCGTGCTGACCAATGCACTATACTCCACGCATCACAACGCGAGGGAACCTATTTGTGTCTGGATACACCTCACACACTCGAAGCACCTGGCCACGGAGTGACTGGATCCAGTGGAGAATACGCTCAGTCCCCGCACAGAGCACAGTTCCTGAAGGGCAAGAAGGTGCCTGCTGCCTTCCCCAGGGTATGTAGGCTTAAATGAAATCTCCGTCGTGGTGGGCAACAGCATAAACCATTCTAATGGTCTCTGTGTCTTCAGCTGCTCTGAATCCTCCAGTCCTAATTAAATCTGAATGAGTATAGTGCCAAGGCCTCTTCCCAAGCGCACCCGTCCCCAGCAGCCTGGTGCCTGCCACACACCAGTCTCTGGCCTTGGCTGTGCCAGGGACAAGGTGCGCACAGGTCGGTAGCTTCATTCACAGACACTCCTGGGACCCCAGCCCTGGCGATGGCTCCATTCATTCATTTCACAGTGTGTACTGAGAGCCCTCAGGGCCTGCTTCAGGGCCAGGAAATATAGCAGCAAGCAAACTGTACACCTTTGCCTTCCTGACAGTCACACACTGGAGGAAAAATGCACCAAATACGCATGTTAAATGAGGCTTTGAGGGGCCCGCTTCGAAACAGATCACACAGGTGAACACGCAGTCAGTCCAGCTGGAGGGCAGAGGATGGCCTGGCTCCCATCCGGGGCTCCGCGACACTGCATGGCCCAGGCCCGGCCAGGGCCACACCAGCTCCTGGGGTAGATGCAGATCCACGCAGATTCACAGACAATCTGGGCACAGGGACAGCTCCACTCTCGTGCTCCTTGCAATTCGCCAACAGACCCATCAGACTTGTGAAAGGTGTCAGAGCACAGAGCCTAGTGTCAGGAGCTTAGGGCCGAGTTTCCCTGAAAAGCCACTCCGCATGCACTTCAGGCCTCACCCGCACAGCTGGGCACCACACAGGACCCCTGAGCCACCAGGGAGGACTGACCCAAGATGCCTCAAAACACAGGTTTTAGGGGTGCATGGATGGGCGTCCCACACACTCAGAAAACCTTGGGGTACCTGCTTCCAGAGGTACCTGCCTACGACTGCGGAAACTAACACAGGAGGCTACGCTGAAGACCAATCAAGATTCCTGGTGCCGAAACGCAGGAAGGAGGAAGACAAAATGCCACACTGCTGTGTTGGGGCTCCTGGGAGGGCCGAGAGTGAGCTGCACTGAGGCACTGCCGGCAGCACAGACCTGCACCTGCCCTGCTGTCTGCGCCCAGCCCCATGACACGGCATCACCTGGGCCCCTCCGTGGCAGAGGAGCTGTGCTTTGCTCCACCCCCTGGTGTGGCGTGATCCTGACTGCCCGGTGGAGCCACTGAGATGTGCCGGGCGGAGACCAATGGCCCCTGACACCACCTCACGCTCAGGGCTGCTGGCTCAGGGAAAGAAAGCTGGGGCAGCCACATGAACTGGGACCCAGTTGCCTCATGTCCCAGCCGGCTGAGGAGGGGCTCTCATGGTATAACAGCGATAATTTAATGGGACACACGAGAGTGCATGGTTTTAAAGTGTGGCAGTGTTCTGAACGCTCCCAAAGCAGGAGTGGGCTGTATCGTGCCAGGGGACATGGCAGAGCCTGGCCACCACCCTACCCCCAGCTTGGCCAGGCGGGAAAGGCCATCGGGTCCCGGCCTTGATTCCAGAGACCTCGGCACAGCCACCACCAGGCGAGGAGCACAAACCACGCTGCCTTCACCCTGACTCCTCGAGGCATTAAATCCTCTGACCAACGCCTCACTGGTGACCACTTCTCACTTTGGTCCATGCTCTTCCCCATGCTCCGCTGGTTCTGCTCAGGGCCAGGCCACCTGTTTGCCTGCGCCGAGTAAAGCAGCTTCGTCTGTCCTCCAAGAGTGGAGAGTGTCCTCCACTCTCCATCTCCGTCACAGGCTGTGCTGTCACCTTGCTGCTGAGGCCGGGAGCCGCTCTGCTCGTGCTGAATGCGAGGAAGGGGCTGTGTTTGACAAGATGGGCAGCTTGTGTAGTGAGTGTGGAAGGGACTCGGGAGCTGTGGGGGAGCCAGGCCTGAGGCAGCAACATCAGGCCAGCACCGCAGTCCCGCGGCCAGGGCAAGCGGCCTTGATGCTCTGGAGCCCGGGGAATGAATGAGAGGCCGGGAGAGCTGGAGCCGCACTTGCTGTTCTGTGCACACGGGGTCTGTGCTCTGCTTCTCCAGCGCCCACACGGTCCACGCTGCTCTGCATGTCAGACCCAACTTCCTTCCCTTCCCGCAAACAGACACTGTCACACCCGCTTCCGGCCCTGCCATGCTCCTTAGTTCTTGCTATGGAGGTGTGTCTAAGGAACAAACAACCTAGCCGGGCTCACACCTGTCCTCCCAGCACTCTGGGAAGCTGAACCAGGAGGGTCCCAAGTTCAAGCCCAGCATGGACAACTTAGTGATTTAGTGAGAACTTGACTCAAAAAAAATTTTAAAAAAAGAACTGGGATTGTAGCTCAGTGTGAGGATGCTGGGTTCAATCCCCAGCACTGCAAAGAAAGTTTTTTAAATGGTTTATTAAATTAACTCAGTGTCACTTTCACTTTATAATTGTGGAAGAACTTCAATTAGATAAATTCACAAACCAGAGCATTCTTCCTCATCAGAGCCTCCGAAAACGCGGCTTCTCTTCTCTTCTCTTCTGCACTGCGAGGTCTTGCAGAGGGTGAGAAAGGACTGGAGCTTTGTGGGGGTTTAGTGCTGAGAACTAAACCTGCAGTGACTGCTCGCCACCCTTGCCATGCGGCACCCACTTAACAGATCTCACAGGCACAAAAGCAGAGCTGGACGGGCCTCCCACCCCGTCTCCTCCTGCACTGCTCAGAGTGCTCTCCTCAGCAACCCGAAGCCCAGCCCCATGCGCCATACTGCCTGCCTGGGCCATGTCTGCCTGACAATACTGAGAGTTAAACCTTTCAGACACCCCACCAGGCCCGCTGCTAAGGACCTAACAGAGAACATCTACAGGGAGCATCTGGGCCTGGGCATCACGGCAAGTCGCCTGCAGCCCACCTGGGCAGCCCTTCCCTTGCGGGACCCCCACTGCCCAAGGGACCATGTGCACAGATGACGTCTTTCCCACTGGAGAAAGACAAAGGCAAGGAGCCCGGCACAGTACAGTGGACTGGACAACCAGGAGAGAACAGGAAAGGCTCTTACCTTGCATCGTCGCTTTTGTTGGTTCTGAGAACAGAGGAATGAGCAGGAGGTAGATAAGGTAGACAAAGGAAAGCCCATTGTACCGGAACGCACATGCTGTGGGTGGAAAGAGAGAAGAGAAGAGAATGTCATCAGTAATGGCAGGATCCCAGAACCAGTGGCCCGTAAATCAAGTGTGAGTGATGGTAAGAGACATCACTGGGCTGAGCAGTATCACTCCCTGAAAGGCACGTCAATCACAAAGTAACGCATTGAGTGTTTCATGTTGAGCACTATGTGGAACAAGATGTGAAACAGAATTAAAATGCATGGTCCAGTCAGGAAGTATAAAGTTTACAAAAGAATGGTTTAAAAAACTAACACAGTGGTGGCATGGTCCATGAACTTAATTTGTTGTATGATTTGGGGGAAGATGGCTGGAGTTGTGTTTGTCACCTGATGTAAAGTTTGTGAATGGAAGCAAAATTTTGTCAAATGCTCTTGTGTGAGAACAGAATTGTTTGTGAACAGAGCATTCATGATCCGGGGTACCACTGTAATAGCTACAATAATTATTGAAGATGTGCAATATAAAATAGATGTAAACTGTGACATAAAGCATAAAATGTTGGGAGAAGGGTGGAGTAAATGTGTAGACTTCTTATAGACAATTAAAATTAAATTGTTATCAGCTTCAAATAGCCTGTTATATCTATAAGATGTATTATGCAAACCTAATTACATTCAACAAGCAAAAGCTTATGGTAGATTCACAAAAGATAAAAAGTAAGAAACCAAAGTGTATCACTGGAGAAATCATCAAAAGATAGGAAAAAAGATGTATAAAATAGTCACAAAACAATGAATAAAATGGAGGTAATAAGATCTTGGCTGTCGATGATTACCTTGAATGTAAATGCATTAAGTTCTCCCATCAAAAGACAGAGTGGCTGAATGGATTGAAAACCCAACTATATATGTACTGCCTGCAAGACACGCACTTTACACTTAAGAACACAGAAACTGAAATTAAAGGGATAGAAAAAGATATTTCAAGAAATGGAAATGAAAAGAGAATGAGGCAGCTATGAGTATATCAGAAAACAATATATTTTACATGAAAAATTAAAATGAAGCAAAGAAGGTAATTACATACTGATAAAGGGTCAATTCATTAGGAAGATATAACAGTTGTAAATATATATGTACCCAACACTAGACCCCCTAAATATGTCAAGTAAATAATGATAGATATAAGGAATAAGTAGCTTGTAATATAATAGTGGAGACGTAGTTCCTCACTTTCAACAATGGGCAGATCATCTAGACAGAAAATCAATAGGAAAACTTTAGACCTAAACTAAATGTTAGACTAAATGGGTCGATCAGACATATATAGAACTTTCCAGCCAACAGCAGTAGAACACACACTCTTCTCTAGTGTGTGGGAAAGATACTCCAGGATAGACACATGTCATACCACAAGACAAGTTCTAAAAAATTTAAGAAGACTGGAATCACATCAAATACCTTTATATCTACAGTGCTATGAAATTAGAAATTAATAGCAAGACTTTTGAAAAATTCACAAATAGATGGAAATTAAACAACATGTTCCTGAACAATCAATGGGTCAAAGAAAAAAACATTAGCAACATTTAAAAATATAATGAGACAAATGAAATGGATACCAAGCTTTTGGGATGTATCAAAAGCAACTCTGAAAAGTTTATAGCAGCAAATGCCTAGATAAAAAGAAGAATGACATCAAATAATGTAACCCTATACTTCAGGAACTAACAAAGAACAAATGAAGCCCAAAATTAGTAAAAGAAAGGAAATGATAAAGAATAAAGTAGAGGAGTCCAGTCAGCCCGCTGCAGACAGGCGGGTTTGCCCACGCCCTACCGAGGTCCCCAGTCCTGCAGAATACGCCGAATCAGCCCGCTGCACACAGGAAGGTCTGTGCACGCCCTACCGAGGTCCTGAGTCAAGCAGAAGACACAGAATCATACCGCTGCAGACAGGCAGCCACCTGGTTCCACACTACAAAGACACAGAGGACACCAGACCACCAGACCAAGGTACTGAGTCCTGCTGTTCCTGGCCCAGAGGTAGGGGCATCTGAGCCGTCGTCCCACTGTTCCTGGTCCAGAGGAAGGGGCTTCCTGGTCATCATCCCTCCCGCTGCTCCCAGCCCAAAGGAAAGGGCTTGTGGGCCACCTTCTGTCCAGCTGCTCCTGGCCCAGAGGAAGGGGCTTCCAGGCCACCATCCCTCCCACCGCTCCCGGCCCAGAGGGAGGGGCTTCTGAGCCATCATCCCACTGCTCCTGGTCCAGAGGAAGGGGCTTCCTGGCCACCATCCCTCCCGTTGCTCCCAGCCCACAGGAAAGGGCTTTGGATCACCATCCCTACCACTGCTCCCGGCCCCTGTCCCACCTCACCCAGCTCAGAGGAGGTAATCCGTGCAGGCGCTAACAGCCCCCCTGCCCCAGTCGAAATGAGAAAACACGTAAATAAGTCTCAAAACCAGACTTCCAGATC